CAGGTTTCATAGCACTCTCACTGTTGCCAGTGGCAAGGTTTCTCATAGCACTGCCGTTGCTTAATGTCCTCAATGAGCCCGTCCATAGTGAGGGTTCTAAGGTCTGTATTTATCTTCAATTTTCCCTTCCTGCACCATCACAGCCCTAGCAAAGAACTTCAGACACTTTGCCATGACTTTAGATCTAAGTCTTCACTCTGCGGGACTGCACACCCCACAGGACCCAAGTTTTTTTTTCTTTTTAATGCTGATTCTCAGCCTAGATTGATTTCACCCTATACTGGCCAATCAGTTTCTGTTTGGGATAATGAAGATTCACAAACTGTGAATATACTTAATGTCACTGAAGAATATACTTAAAAAAGGTTAACAAGGTAAATTTTATGTTATGTATATTTTTACCATAACAATTATTTTTTAAAACTGGCCCAGAGAGTGTAAACAGAGGAGAGTTTCTAAGGCTTGAGCTCAGAGGCCTCTAGCATTTTCTGGAGGATAAAGAAATTGAACAAGGGAGACTGAGATAAAGCTGGGGGACAAGAGGAATCCAGGAGGGAACAAGAATGCAGAAACCAAGAAAAGAAAGTGAGAGACTGGAAAAATTACCAAAAGGTATGAGAAGGGCTGAGAATTGACAACTAAAACTGACAGAATCATTTCATTGAAGTAGTGAGGATAAAAGTCTAAGAATAGTTTAAGTTAGAATAGGACATAAGGAAGTAAGAGAATTCTTCCAAGGTATTTTACGAAGGAGGCACATAAAAATGGATTCACTGGAGGGACATGTGGAATTAAGGGAAGTTTTTTTAAAGATGGAAGATATAATCCCCTACTTGTATAATGACAGAAGCAATCTAGTCAAGAGGGAAAATTTGGTAAGAAGAATGTGTGTGATATTGCACCCAATATAAGCACGGCAGTTTTTCCTTGTAACAAGAGGTAAGGCATGGGCCTCCCCGGTGGCGCAGCGGTTGAGCGCTGGGTTGCGAAGCTGCCCGCAGCCTCCGCGGTGCCGGTTCGATCCCCGGCTGCTCCCCGGCCACAGGAGGAGGGTCCCACATGGCGCGCAGACCTCTCCTGCCGCCCGCTGCTCCCCTCAGCAGTGTACTTCGGTCCTTCTGCCTGCTCTGCTCCCCGCTCTGGCTCTGGTGAATTCTCTCACCCTCCTGCGCTTCTGACTGTACCCAGTGCTTGTATAAATAAATAAAAAATAATAATAAAAAAAAAAAAACAAGAGGTAAGGCAGAGTTAGGGTACAGTGCAGGGAGGTCAATATGAAGAAATTAGCTTCTGGCAGTTTCTATTTTCGTAGAAAAAGAAGAAAGAAATTAAATCATCAGATAAGGATGAGGAAAGATGGGTGGGATACTAAAAATGTGACAAAAAAGAAGTTGTGAAACTATTGTTTCAGGAGTAGAATAGAGAATAACCCAGAGAAATGCACCAGAAATGCTAGAGGTGCTGAGATCCCATGTGAGGTTTGTTAACCACAAATTCAAAGTGGGACTGGCAGTATGGAGATGCATTTTTCTCCAGTCGCACTGGGTTACTCCTATCAAGCGAGGAGTAGGCAGTTCTAGAATAACAAGGTTACAGGGGGATTTTCAGAGTACTGGAGAGGGAAGAACAAGTGAGTAGGCTGAGAGTATATATGAGAGTGATTATATCAACAAACAATAGAATGTAAGCTAGTTAAGAATAACGCTAAGCAATTTAAATATTTTTACTTAATAAAAAAACTTTTTGCTTTCAATAAAAACATGCTTTACAACAACTTTCTAAATGCTCAGCTTTCCAACATTTTGCCAATTGTGACAGCTTTCTCAGATGCGTAAAAGTCACCAACATTCACCTTGTGATACATGCCAAAGTATCCCTTTCATATCAGCACAATAACAAAAGCTGGTGTTTCGACTCTGAAAATAGACTGTGAATCCAAACACTTCTCCCTTCTTCCACTATCACCCCATGCTGGGCTTGCTTGGGCCTTTCCCTATTGTTCCTTACCAAGGAATTTCAAAATCAGATCATGCCTTGCTTTCAACCATTCAATAACACCATTGTATTTAGCAGAAAACTCAAATCCTAGCCTTGACCTGTAAGAACATATGTGACCTAGATCCTGAGTACTTCTACAGTCTAACTTCTACCTCTCGCCCTTAAGACCCAGTTACACGAGCTACTCACCCTGGTCTCTCACATTCCTCAGTCTTGCGAAGCAAGACTTGTATTTGCAGGACCTTGTATTTGCTTTCCCATTGTAGAGTAAGGTAAAAAGTATCAGGCTTTTCTGCCCTCCCACCATCAGGTTAGATGATGGATCTTTGCGGTACTGAATGCATGCCTGATGGCGGGCACCTGGAGTAGGATGTGGGCATAGGTAGATGGGATTCACCTGGGCTAAGACTGGGCTTTTAAGGGCGGCGTCACGGGGACGCCAGCAGAGGAGAAGCAGGAGAGCAGAGAGAATGCGAGAGAACGCCAGAGAGCCCAGAAGGAGTTAAGACTTGCTGGGGGCCAGGAGGCCTACCAGCCTCCCCGACCCCCCGGCACCCCTACCTGCCATGTACCTGGTAAATCCCAATAAAAGCCTGCAAAAGCCACTGAGGACTCCAGGACTCTCCTCCTTTACCCGGTCTGCTGGATTAGAAAACCTGCTCAGTGGCCCTTCCTGCCCACTACGTTTGGTGTAAGTCGGCAAGATGATCCATGCAGACGGGTATAGAGCCCTTCAAAGACCTCTGGAGGGACTGAGGAGTAGCAGACCTAAAGCCTGTGACAACGCTGGAGGCGTCATGGCACAGGAGGTGGACAAGGTCCGGGAGCTACGGGATGAGACCTCGCCTGGAGAAGATGCCCAAGAGGACCAGCCAACGACCCCTGAGGCAGCAGAGCAGAATCGTTGGGGGAAAAAAGGACCACGATTCAGAGCTCCTCAATGTGGAAAAAGGAAGAAGCCTATGGACTTGGGACTAATAGACTTGGACTGACAATCCTGCCAGAAGGCGGAGGAACCTTGGCAGGTTGTTAAGTTTTGGGGATCCTGGGGGTGGATGGTATAGTATATAAACCCCAGGAGATGGGAATCTGGGGGTGGCCAGTGGGCCTCAGTGGCCAAAAGCAGCCTGTGTACTGCCCAGCAGTGAGGCAGAGGAGAAAAGCCAACTGAGAAGGCAAAAGCTGGTGCTGAGACTGAGAAGCCTTGAGCGGCGCTTAAGCACTAAGTAAGCTAAAGGCCAGTGAGTCTCTTAAAATCACCTGTGGGTGATGCCCTGCTCACGGCTGAGTGAGGGTGAGGAGCTGAGGAACCTGTCCTTGGGGGATGGGTGGGGAGCATGGCTTGCGGTGGAGCCCACAGCCAAAAAGGGGACCCAAGAGAGGCCGCGTGTGGAGCTTGTATCCATGGATCCCCAACCCATGTGCTTGTGCAGTGGGGTTTGGCCTGAGTGCAGGGGTCTGTGTGTCGCACTGGTGGCTATGAAAGCCTAGTGTTGGAGTGACCGCAGACAGAAACCTGATTGGGCGATTACCCCCAAAGAATAGAGAATCCCCAATCCAATAGTGAGTGCATCCTGGGGGTGGATGCAGTGTGTGGCTTGTGGCAGAGACCAGAGTTAGAGAAGGTCAGGAATCCTGACGGCTCCTAGGCATGTGACGGTAGATGCCGTGAGTGATTCCCCTCCTTCTCATGAGCAGTGCCTTCGGCAGCAGAAGTGGTGGATCATCTGCTGGTGCCAATAATTATCTTTTGCCACTAGGTTGGTGCCCTGCCTGGACTTATTTGTGTTCTGTTATATTGTGATATATTTCATTTGCTTTTGTGGGCCATGGCTGCAGTGTTCTATTGCCAAGAGAAATGTATATGACTTGTATAGACTGGCAGAAAACCCTGAGGGGGGGAGGACTGTAGGGTAAGGTAAAAAGTATCAGGCTGTTCTGCCCTCCCGCCATCAGGATAGATGACAGAACCCGGTGATGCTGAATGCATGCCTGATGGCTGGCACCTGGAATAGGGTGTGGGCATACGTAGATGGGATTCACCTGGGCTTTTAAGGGCAGCATCACGGGGACGCCAGCAGAAGAGAAGCAAGAGCAGAGAAGCAGAGAGAACACCGGAGAGTGCAGAAAGAGTGAAGACTTGCTGGGGGCTGGGAGGCCTACCGGCCTCCCAGTACCTCTACCTGCCATATACCCAGTAAATCCCAATAAAAGCCTGCAAAAACCACTGAGGACTCCAGGACTCTCCTTTACTCAGTCTGCTGGATTAGAAAACCTGCTCAGTGTCTCTTCCTGCCCACCACACCCATGAAATACCCTTTCTCCTCAAATACTCAACATGATTTAACTCCCACTTCGTTGAGGTCTCTGCTCAAATGTCAATTTCTCACAGAAGCCTTCCCTGACTATCCATTTAGGGATAGGGACTGATGTGCCAACATCTTAAATCATTTTACCCTGCTCTATTTTTCTTCAAAGCACTTCTGACCATTATAATTTTTTTTCCTATCTCCCCCACTGGACTATAAGTTCCACAAGGGATTTTCTGTATTCACCCTTAAGTCCCAGAGACCTAGATTAGAGCATTGTATATTCAGTATTTATGGAATTAATCATCAATCCTTTTTAATATCGATTTTTGCATGTTTTCAGCAATTATAGAAATATAATTTATAAATACATAAAAATACATGAGGGGTACACACACAACTGTTTTTTAGAGTTTACAGTTAAAAAGCTATGGCAACCACAGCTGCAAGCAACAAACAAGCCAGACACACTCCCATGGAAAGTGTCTCTCTCTCTCTGTCTCTCTCTCTCTCTTCACCCCCCTCAGGAGACTTGGGCCATATTCATACCTTATGCTCCTCAAGGGGTGAAAATACTCTATATATATGGGGTTAAGGCCCTGACCAACTCTTCTGTTCTCTGCCTTTGTGTTCCAGATTTAGCTTGAATGAATGGATTGTTTGTTCTGACACAAAGCAGGGTTGATTACTTACTGGTCCTACACAATTGAGGACAACTGCTGCCTGTTTAGCCATTTCATCAAGTGAGGCTGGATTACTGATATCACAAATTATTATTCCAACTTCAGTTGACAGTGATGGTCTTCCTAAAATAAGAAATACATTATTTTAAGCAAATCCTGACACAGTGTTATTATCTTCCAGATCTTTTTATAGTAATCACTGGTAGCTAATTTATTATATTGAAAGCTAACTCTCCCTCTGAAACAAAAGATAAAATTTTTTAACCAGATAATTAAAAAACAGGAAAAGGTTATGGGGAAATGGAGTTAATATTGAGTTACCAATCTTTTTAAAAATTAACATAACAATGTAGGTTGTGATACTACTGTTGGATGTTAAATAGATTACAGTCAGACTTCCTCTGCCAAGAATTATAAAGGGAGTTTCTCATCAACTATTAAGCAATTACATATGATGCAATTATGGGGGTTAAGGGCTGTCCTGAACAGTAACATAAAGAGAACAGGACTCTGAGGTCAAAAGTATAGTCTAGGTAAGAAAACTCAGGCTCCTCCAGAAATAACTGCAATTAACTGAATCAACAGAGTAATGCAGGTTTCCATGTGTCAAGGGGTAGTCCCTGAAATAACCATCAGGGCATTACAAATAATAGGTAACAAGGTGTACTAGTTAGTCCAGTGAATTTTCTCTTTTGGAAAAATAAAAAAGGCCAAAACGCTTTTGGTCAAGACTCCTTATTTGGTATTAGCTGCACAAGGAGTTGTAGGAGGCACCACCCTACATGTATCTTCTGTACATAACTATAAACAGTATTCTATATTCCCACCATAAACAGAGTTGTGTGGAATTATGATATGAAAATTAAAGAATGTGGTATAACCAGAACTCCAACAGGTGCCATTGGTCTGTATGAGAGGAGACCGGGGTGGAAAATTAAAAACCAAATTTACAGGCTACTGAGTGCTAAATTAAAGATGTCTCCCCGCAACATGAGCATAGGATTTCTGCATGTATGTTCAAAATGTGTCTCCCCAACACTTAGAACAGCACAGAAAAGACCATTCAAAAAAATTAAGTTTGGACGAATGCTGAAAGAATTAGTAGAGGCTTCAAAAAGAAACACAAACTTTTTTTTTCCTGAATGAAGCAGTTTATAGCAGCACTGTTTACAATAGCTAAGCTTTGGAAACAGCCCAAATGCCCAAAAATAGATGACTGGATTAAGAAGATGTGGTACATATATACCATGGAATATTACTCAGCATTCAAAAAGGATAAACACATGCAATTTGCAGCAACATGGATGGCGCTGGAAGGGATCATGCTCAGTGAAATAAGCCAAAAAGAAAAAGAAAAATACCGGATGGTCTCACTCATAGCAGGAATCTAGAAAACTTAAATAAGGGACCAGAAAAATGAATAACTATAAGAAAGCGAAAATCAAAATCAACAAAAAACTATGAACCAGAGACACTTTTTTGGGGGTGAGGGGCGGGAGGGGAAGGATTGGGGTCAGAATGGGGGGGTTGCAATTGTATGGTGAATATAAAAATAAAATTTATTATTTAAAAAAAAAAAAGGAGAGAATGAATTAGAGAGACTCAGACAGATAATACAAACTAAATTCCAGAAGCTTGGTGCTTTGAGGAAATATCAAAGAGGGAGAAGTAATTTATAGATGAAGAGGGAGTGGTTGGGATATGGGTAAATATTCGTAAGGATAGACTTTGATCCAGACTTTGAAGGATAGTTAACACTTGACATTGCGATAGGGGTGAAAGGTCATTTCAGAATTCTTGGAGCAGAAGAACACAGATCCAGAAGTATCAATACAAAAAATATGGGACACACATGAGGGTCAGTGAGTAGTTCTATTTGGCAAGGTTTAGTTTGGCATTCAGAAGTAAATTTTTCTCTCTTAAAAAAAAAAGACTGCAGGATTCTCAGAAGCCCAAAACAAAAACCACAAAGACTTTACCAGTAAACCTCTCAAGCTTTCTCTCCCACCTTGAAAACACAAGGCAAACAAAGCGTGCAAACAATCTCAAGCCAATGCTCTACTTTTTTCATACGCCCAAATTTCAAGAAATCTCCAATCATACCAAGGACCCTTGCTCTAGTCTAGGAGGGAGCAATGAAAAACTCAAGTTCTGGACTCTCGCCTGCGGGACTGCCAAACTGGAGGAGATACTCAAATTTTTAAAATATCATCTCTTAATTTAGTTGGAGAAACAATGCCATCACACCACCCTTGGAAGCGTCGCTCTCCTCCTCCTAGGGGAGGCGGGCTTGGGGACTTGGGGACACCTAGGGGAGCACCCCTGGAGGGGAAACGCTCCTCGCGCGCGACTCGAAGCCGTCAGCCCCGCGGAGGGGGCCCCGGGGACCGCGCCACCCGCCCCCTTTACCCAGCTTCAAGGCAGCCCTATCCAGCACTCGCTGCAGCTTCTCCCGGCTGCGGCCCGCCACGGCCCAGGGCAGGTGGGCGCTCCGCCCCGGGTCCACCTGCTCCCGGGCCACCTCCTCCGTCACGAACTGGCCGGTGAAGCCCGAGGCGCCAAACACCACCAGGTGGAACGGCCTCTTGTCGGTCGCCATGACTAGCCCGCTGCGAGCGGAGCACCGGGGAGGGCTGAGTTCACGGCGCCTGCGCCTCAGGCAGCGACCCCAGCACCGGGCGCAGCAACCGCCTCCGTCAGGGCCGCCGACGTCGCCGCCACTGGCGCGCCGCGCTCCCGACACCCGCGCGCGGCCCCGCGCAAGGGCCCCGCCCACGCCCACGCCCAGGCCCACGCCGCGCGCCCCGCCGCCTCGGCCCCGGGAGGCTTCGGCGGCCGGACTGCGCGCGGCCTGGGCTCCGGCTGCGGAGCCGCTTCCGGGGCTGGCAGGAGCTGCGGGCGGCCCGTCCTGCGGCCCATCGTTTGTCCCGCGCGGCGCTGACCGCCCGAGGGATCACATCTCCGCGCCCTCGGGAGGCTGGAGGCGGCTGCCACTAGCTCCTCCTGTTATTCCAGGGGGTTGCGCAAGGAATTCGCCAAAACCTGGTGACTGGACGGTAGTGCCCACGCCAAGAACTTTTTTTGTGTATTTGTGTCTTCCAGGTGTATTGGCCAAGGGATGTCTGTGAAGCTGCTGGACAAGGGGGAGGACCCGGGGCTCGCAGTCGAATGCACCCTGTAACATCTCTGGCGGATAAGCCGGGGGCCACCCAGCCACTTTCCCCTGCGCCACCCCTTGGGAATCAGAGGGACGGACTGAGGGGCCCCACTTTGCATCCAAAATAGGAACCTTTTTTTAAAATTTATTTTTTATTGATTTTTTTAATTTTTAAATTTTTAGCATTTATCATTTTTAAATGTTTTTTAGACAATATTTGCTACCCTCCACCCCCTCAGATTGAGTCCCCATTGAATTTCCTTCCCCAAGGCACCCGTGCACCATCACCACAGTCCCCTGTGCTCCTCCCTCCCTCCCTCTAATCCCTCTCCCTCCTCCTCCCCTGCAGGGTGTCTCTGATTTACAATTGTCTGTTTTTGCTTTGTTGTGTTTTGTACTGTTAGTATTTTTTTTTTACATTGATGTCTTATTTGGTTCCCCTGTAATCCTGTTATAAGTGAAACCATCCAATATTTTTCTTTTTCCTTCTGGTTTATTTCACTGAGCATAATTCCTTCCAGCTCCATCCACGTTCCTGCGAATGGCATGAGTTTATCAAAGTAGGAATCTTAAGAGCCTCCGGTGAAGACTGAAAGAGTAAGAAAAGAAAAAGAAGATTGAAAAGAGGACTCCATAGACACCAGGGAGGGCAGTCTGGAGTCTGCTCATACAGATTAGCAAAGAGCAAGCCAAAAGAGCCCTGGGGAGACCTCTCTACATGAGAGACACCCTTTGAGGGTCTGGACCTAGGGAAGGACTGGGGTTTGAGAACAAAGGGATTAAATTTATAGGCTGAGAAAGGAAGGAGAGTGGACTTAACTAAAATCCATTTATTGTTGTTGATTGTGGGCACCAGTCAGATGTAGCTCTGTGGTTGTGCAGTGCTCATTTCCATCTTCAAGGTGAAGGTATGGTGGAGGCTGCCTGTGAGCAGCTTGGGTTTGAGCTAATCTGGTCTCAAAGTATATGACTTTTTCCTTAACAGTCAATTTGATCAGCTGTAAATAGATAGTTCAGGGTTGCCCAAGCTGGGGAAAAATAGTAAGAAAACCAGCGGGCCCAGGAAATTTATAGAAGCAGGTGTCTCAGCCTAGAATTACCAGGTTTATCCTCTTGTTTACCAGCCCATGGGAACAGCATAGTTCTTGCAAAATTTTTGTCCTTGAGTCCTGTCCTGCTGTGTGCAGAGAACCTTCCTATCTCAAAGCTGGTTGGGGGTGGAGAATGTACATGGGTTCTGGGGGTTTTCAGGGATCACCTCAGCTCTCCCCAGCATCCACTTGTGCGGCACCCTCTGCTACAAGCCCCTCACTCCACCACCTTGGTGCCTGTCACTTCCTCTTCTTACCCCATGATCATTGACATGTTAATGTTCAGGCTTTGTGGGCAAATAACTCCCAGAGCTATGCTGCCATTTAAGCTTTGAGAGAAAGTGAACAGGGATTCAGGAAATCCTCAAAATACAAAATTCAAGTTTCTGGAGCCGTGTTATTCATGTATTCAAAAACCATTTAATATAAATAAATGGCAGTGAAAAGACAAATTGCCCAGTACAGAGGAATAATAATAATTTGTATACTTACTACCTCCTGGGGAGGAGCATAACAGTGAAGAAACCTGGTAAACTCTACATCATCAAATGAGCAAAGTTAACATCGATGATAAATCACATTGATAACACTATCCTTGAGATATGATAAGAAAGATGGTCTTCCTCCCCAAAACCCAAAACTCACTTGTACCCTGGTGAATATTCTGCACAATACCTGACCAGTACTCCTCAAAATTGACAATGTCATTTAAAACAAGGAGCAACTGCAAAACTGTCACACACTAGAGAAATGGCATGACTAAGTGTAAGAGAAACAATGAAGAGCAACCTCCCAGCCAGTGGGTGGCACTCATAGCCAACTCCATAGTAGAAGGTAGAACTTTCTGTCAAATTAATGGTAGAAAGTGGAGCTTTCCAGACTCCACCCCTGAACAGGGGCTGATGGGAAATAGGGCTGAGCTGGGGTTTGGGGCAATTGAAAGGCAGCTGGGGCTTTTCACAGTTAAAAACTGCTGGGGGTTTGGTATTTAAACCATTAATTTTTTTTTGGCAATTAAGCTACTAGGCTTCTGGCATTTGGGCTGACTTTAGCAGTTAAACCACTGGTAAGGAACAGTGTCTATGGAGAAGCTGCCAGCTTGCCACACTTGACTTCAGTTTGGACATTAGTCTCCCATCAGCAGATACTATCTGGGGTAGGACAGATATAGTCACATGTCAGCCTGTAAATGCATATTCTCTCTCTCTCCCTCCCTCCTCTTTTTTCCACTCCCTGCTATGTAAATAAATCCTGTTCTACTGTTTCTCCCCATGTGTCTGTTTTTGGGTCATGTCCTGAATTCTTAAGTGTACAGATGTAGATTCACCAACCAGGTCAACCAGATTCCTCTAGGTTTGCTCTCTATCAGTATTCTGGAAGAGAAAAAGGATGTCAGAGAAAAACTAGTGAAATCCAAATAAAGTGTGGAGTTCTGTAAATAATGATGTACCAATATTGGTTTCTTTATTGTGGGCCAAATGTACCAAAGTAGTGTGAGATGTTAACAATAGGTTAAACTGCTGAAAGGTAATATCTTTTCAACTTTTCTGTAAATCTAAAACTATTCTAAAATAAAGTCTTTTCAAAATCCGTTTGTTTTCATTTGTATCAGACATATGTAAATGGCATCTCATTCAATGTCAGTCAGCAAGCTTTTCCAGAGAGCTTACTATGTACCAGCTCCTGAAATAGATCCTGGGAATAAAATGAGTTCCTTGTCGGGACATAAATAGTCTAATTGTAGTACATGCGGAAAATAAAGAGAATCTTTGAAACAGAGGAAGAGAATAGTCCTAGGTTTCATCTTCATGGTGATACCAAACACTATGGCAGTGTGTACAGTTCACTGAAGAAGGAGACTTCGAAGGGAACTTTTCTTGACTTAAGTCAAAGGGCTTAGATATAGGAGGATTAACAGAGGAACAGTATTTATTTACTCATCTAATAAACATTTATTGGGTGTGTCAAATGTACCAGAAACCATGCTCAGATTCTGAAGTAAAATGGCATTTTACAAAGACACTTGTAAGATTGAACATCCACTCCTGATATTTTTAAACTCTCACTAAGATGGGTGCTTTTTAATATTATACAATATATTAGTCATACAAAAAGGTAAGTTTAATAATATGTACACAACACATAACTTAAGAAAATCAGTGTAGTTGGTAAGGCTTCTGAGCACTCATCCACAAATAATATTTCCTTCCCTATCTCCAAGGTGGCACTTAGCTAAATCTGGTGTTTATCATTCCCCTTCCTACTTTTCTGTTATTTACATACAAATGTTTAAACTTTATAGTGTATTTTGACTTATTTTTATAATTGTTAATACTGCAAATTTCTTATTTGGTCATGATATCTTCAGCTTATTCTGAAATAGTTCAGAACAAAAAATATGTGGTATGTGTATATAAAGGAAAGTGTAATGCAGGCAATGCTGCAGTATTTTTGTACAATGCAAGAAATGCTATAATACAATTCTTGTATATGTCTCCTTGAGCATATGTGAAAGAATATATCTTAGTATGTATATGGGAATGAAAATTGTTACCCCTGCAGTATACATTTGAGGTGTTACCAAATTTCTCTCTATAGCAAATGTACTAATTTACACTCTCAGCAAGATATGAGAATTCCCTGCAAAGTGAAGTCAGAAAGACACAAACTGACAATTTCACATACATCAATAATATAAGGAAACAAGGTAGAAAACTGCTAATGTAAAATAATTTCTCTGACATCGATAACTGAACTGAGATTTTGAGTTTAAGTGAGACGGGGAGAGAAAGGGCTAAGGGGACCAAAGGGAAGGTGGTGGGAAAAAAACTAATGGAAAAGGACTATTTGGGCTATTAAAATTTTTAGTAATTGTTGATGATAAGCTAGAAGAAAAAAAGTTGTAGACATGTGTGCACTTTACCCTTAAGCTCTCCAGCAGATCCTTAACTAGGGTTCAATATTTAATATTTTTCTATTTAAGGTTAAATATATATATATATAATAATTCTCCACTGCTTCACATCTTTTTCAACAATCAGTATTACCAGATTGCAGTTTTTGTCCATCTAGTGAGAGTTCAGAGTGATCACTATTAGCAAAAATGTCTCACAGACTCTTTTCATTTTCAACAATGTGACTTTCCTGCTAAGGCCCCTGGGAGACCAGCACACCATCTTTAATGGATACTGTATTGATATTTTTGTACTACTGTCTAATTTTTAATGAGTATGATACTTTCCAAAAATAGCTCCCCAAATTAACCTTGTGTGAAACTGAGTGCTGATTATGTATTAGGAAACACGCAAGTCCATTTGAGACTCTGCTATTTCTGACAAAAGGCAGTGCTTCAATTTTATTAGAGTGTTGTGAAAACAAACTCAATTAACCTTTGAGCCAAATTTTGAAATGCTGGACTATTAGGAAACTCTAAACCATACCACAC